TATAAGCTTAATTAGCTATATAAGGCCGTTTAAATTTAATTAGTTGTTTAATGTAACCCTCTCAGGTTAGCTGTCTTCTCTAAAATTAAACAAGCCAATCATAATGCAGAATATCCAATAATTATGTAATTAAAACTGTCAAATGAATTGTGTTTTATAAATCCTGTTCAAGTTCAAAAATATAACTGGATAGTGATTAAATACATGTCTATAGAAATTTTAGATAGAAATATTATGAACTGAAAAAGACAGCTATAGACTAGTCTTTTTAAAACTAATTGGCGATCAAGTTTATTTTAAATGTTATTATATAATAAGGTGACTGATATTTATATCTTCAATTTTGTTATTCATACCCCCTGTAGATTAATTTTTTTCAACTTTGAGCAAAGATTTCTTGACAACCACCAAGCCAAATGTGATAATTTTTTTTTATTTGAATTCTAAAGTTTTGTAGAATTAAAATAAAAAAAAATCATCAATTTTGATTTTGTGGTTGTCGAGATATCTTCGCTCAAAGTTAAAGAAAAATTTTAGCGCAGCTTTTATTTTGATAGACATTTTGAGTTTTTTAAAACTTTAAATGATAATATATCAACAACCACAAAGCCAAATTTGATAATTTTTTTTATTTGAATTCTACAAAGTTGTAGAATTCAAATAAATAAATTTCATCAAATTTGACTTGGTGGTTGTCAAGATATCTTCGCTCAAACTTGAAGAAAAATTTTAGCATAGCTTTTATTTTGATAGATGTTTTGAGTTTTTAAAACTTTGAGCAATAATATCTCGACAACCATCAAGCCAAATTTGATAAAAAAAAATTTTTTGAATTCTACAAAGCTACAGAATTTAAATAAAAAAAAATCTATCGAATTTGACTTGGTGATTGTTGAGATATCATCGCTCAAAGTTTTAAAAAAATCAAAACGTCTTTCAAAATAAAAGCTAAGCCAAAATTTTTCTTCAACTTTGAGCGAAGATATCTCGATAACCACCAAGCCAAAATTGATGGATTTTTTTTATTTTAATTCTACAAAGCTTTAGAATTCAAATAAAAAAAAATTCATCAAATTGGCTTGGTAGTTGTCGAGATATCATCACTCAAAGTTGAAAAAATAATCTACAGAGGTACAAATAACAAAATTGGGGGTATGAATATCAGCCGCCTATAATAAAGTTCAAAAATAATCTTCAAAATTATCATATATTACAGTGCCTTTCAAATTATTGTGATCAGTGGAAATCAATAAAATTTCATTTTAATTCTGAATTCTGTATAGTATGTGCCGCATAAAATTCACTAATCATAATAATCTAAAAAGCATTGTAAAATAGATTTAAACTTTGATTTCAGCATTATCTATAATATTTAATGATTTAAACAGATATTTAACTATAGCTTAAATTATTATTTTTATCTTTCTATCTGTGAAGCAGGCAAAAACATCATAACATATAAAGTCTACAGATAAGGCAGCTATCTAATCAAATAATAATCTGTGATATATAAATTTGTTTAAATTATATGTTTGTTTAAATTTTTCCTCCCACCCCCTTGCCCGAGCCCAAAATTTTGACATTAAACAACTAATCAACTTTAAACAACCTAATGTACAAATTAAAATAAATTTTTTATACTTACTCTCTAATAATTAAAATTAAATAATTAAAATTGTATGAATATTTTTAATTTTTAAAATAATAAAAATTAACAAATTAACTTACTTTTTATGCTATTCCTCAAACTTATCCTTATTCTTTTTTATGCCAATTCTATAGTAGTAACACCAAGCAGTTTTCCAAATTTCATTTAAATTATCCACTTTAGCTGCTTTTAAATAATTTTCAAACATCTTTTGCTTGTCTTTTTTGACTCCAATTTCTAAATAATAACAGTATCCAACCTGATAAATTCTGTTGGAATTATTCAGGTCGGTGGATTTTTGGTAGTAACGGAATGCTTTTTTTTTATCCTTTTCAACTCCAATTCCAAATTCGTAACAGTAACCAACCCAATAAATTCTGTCTGGTTCGTTGGTATCTGCCAATTTTTTATACTCATTGAAATTTAGTTGGTTCATTAAAATTTTAAAAAAAAATAAGCAATACATAACAATGCAACAACATACCGACAACAATTTTATTTTATTTTATTTTTTTTATTTTTTTTATTTTTTTATTTTTTTTTTAATACCCACTAGGGGGACGTCGGATGGCGTACTTTATTTGATTTTGACTTATGTATTATATTATACTAGTGTATAACCTGTGCCTCTGTTATGGGAATTGGTAAAATTTATCGTGTGAAAAATTACTTTTATGATTCTAATATTTTGAGTATCGCTAAAAGAAAATCTGAAAATTTAAATATGACTTATATTTAAATTTTCAGGTTTTCTTTTAGTGATACTCATTTATTGATATTGAGTTATAATAGTATATTTATGATGATTACAATATTTAGAAGGTTGAAGGTAGTTATTATTTTGTTATATAAAATTTGGTATAGTGTTAATATATCGTGTCAATATATCATGTTAATATGCCACTTTTTATATCATGTTATAAGGGAGGGGAGGGTATTTTGGCACACCTAAGCTTTATTGCCAATTAAAATTTTATAAATTAATATTTATATCTAAAATTCATTTAAACCAACTAATTTTATACTTGGCTATTTGCTAATAAAAAAATATAAGTATAATTAATAAAAAAATTTGTTTATTGCAACTTTTTTGAACCTGATTTTTTAGATGTTTTATTAGATGGGTATTTCAGCGCAGTGCAAATATAGTAATATCTACATACTGCATAAACTTTATAATTAGCCAAGTTCGACATTTAATCAATAATACAAATAATAAATTACTAAATGAAGCAGATTCTTAAGGGTGCTGTGCATGCTGAATACACTTTAGTTAATTTTTAGTTTTTTTTTTTTATTAATGTTGCTTGAATCTTGTAGCCAAGAATTTCCAAAAGTTCTAATTAAAGTGATTTTAACACTATTCAGTTTGTCTCAGTAAGATAAATCAAATGATACTAAAATTTTTTGACTCTGATTAGTATATATCAAGATATTATTAAAAAACTTTAGTACACCAAATTACTCACCTGTGCCAGAATACTCTCCTCTCCCTTATAATATGATATAAATAGTGGCATATCGATATGACATATTGATATGACATATTAATACTATACCAAAATTTTATATAATATAAAATAATAACTACCTTCAACCTTCTAAATATTTTAACTATCATAAATATATGCTATTATAACTCAATACCAATAAATTAGTATCGCTAAAAGAAAACCCAAAAATTTAAATATAAGTCATATTTAAATTTTCAGATTTTCTTTTAACAACACTCAAATATTAGAATTATAAAAGTAATTTTTCATATGATAAATTTTACCAATTCCTGTGACAAAGATACAAATTACACACTAGTCTCCAATGCAACATAGCATAGTATTCTATAAAGGTTATATCTTTTTGCAAAGTGTAATATAATAAAGCATCTAAATCTGCTTTCAATTAATTTAAAATAAAAATTAGTGATTTATATCATCGTGATTTAGATCACATGCCATCTATAATTTATGGTTTAAAATAATTCAAATTGATTTATGCTTATTGTTTGTAATGATTTAACAACACATTATTACTCTGAGGATTTTAAATTTTTGGTTTAAGAAATTAAAGCAAAGTTACCCGATGATTTTGATAAAAATATTATATGGTATTTATTAATAAATTATATAAAAAAAAGAAAAATTATAGGCATCTTTTTGGGGATATATATAAGTTATATATTTCCCACAACCAAATTCAGTTAAGGTAGGGTTAGAGTTTGTGTTAAAGTTAGTGGTATTTATAGTAAAATTGCTCAAGAAAAATTTTTTGTTAGAGCATGAAAGGTAGTTTAGTTTCTTATACAAATGTTCAAGAAATAAATGATTTTTAAAAAAACAAAAATTTGTTTTGATCTTTGTGATTGTGCTATATTATACTAAATTCTGATGAAATTCTGACTCATCATTGGGCAATTTGTAGGAATACACATCTTCTGTGGGAGATGTCTAAAACTACCCAAAAAAAATATTAGCTTATCATATGAAAATATGATCAAATGACTTAAGGGGTAGTTCGCAGCTGAAAGGTAAAAATTTCATAGTAAAAATCGGCAGAATCACTTATAGATTTTTAATAATAGTGGAATGGCCAACAATTTTCACAAAGAGTACATAGTACTCTTTGTGAAAATTGTTGGCCATTCCTACTACTATTAAAATTTTATATGTAATGCCCACCAATTTTTACTATGATGCTTATATGATGCTTATACCCTTTAATGGCGAATCACCTCTTAAATAGAATACAGAAATAATTAACAAGTTCTTTTGCTTTGGCCTTTGATGATCAGTAATTATTATTTCATTAGATTGGTAAAGAATCTAACAAAAAAATATTAAAAATACCAAATATTTAATGAATGAATGTAAAAATTTATATTGGGTCATTAATTTTTGTATTCAAAAATCATAATTATATTGTAGTTTACTATTCTGTTTGTAATTATATTTTCTTGCATTTTTGTATGATGTGTTATTTTATCTTATTTTTTTCTCTTTATTTACAAGAAGGAGAATGAGAAAAAGTATTTAAACTCGTAAAACTAGGATATGCACATAAGTATGTACATACTTAAATCACAAGGAGTATGTTATATGCAACAATAATTTGCACTAAGATCATAGCAATTACTTGGTACAATATTGTAATAAAAAGCTATTTGGCACTATTATCTCCCAACCTTGTCTTATTGGAGGGATAGAAAATTACATTTGAGTTATACTACATATTATTAATTTAAAATTGTATAAACAGAAAAAGTGTTTGTTCTGCTATATTTCAATACTTTGAATTCTTTTTCAATTCTATTTTTAATGATTATAAAAAGTATTGGATCAGGAATAATGATCCCTCCCTATCTAACTTGTGTATAATGATACCAAATTTCATAAATTGCATAAATATAAAGCTGTCTTGCCAATTCTCTTTTTTTAGAATCATGAATATTTGAAGCTATAATAATCTCTTCTATAGTCATTAATGAAGACACCCCAGAGTCTGTTATGAAGGAATATATGATTCTTCATATTTCTTTACTTATTCTGCAAGTAATTCTAAAATATTCATAAGTTTGATTTTTCTTATTACATACCGGGTATTCACCATTATTATTGCGAATTATGTATTTTAGCCTGTAACCCAATGGCAATGATTTGTGACAAAATTACCAGAATATTTTCATTTTTTTGTTATTAATAAGCTTTACTTTTATGTTTCTTTATTCTTCTTGTTTATACTTTCATTTCTTTGTAAGCACATTCATATGATTAACTTTCTCTTTAAAAAACTAATAGTCTTATTTACTATATATTGGTCACCAGATAATTTAGCTATTTTTATATTTTCCAGTTGCCAAGGCCAATTATCTTCTGTATTTATTTTACCATCTGCTCTTTTTCAAGCTATTATAAAGGGCTTTCAGTAATTAGACACAATTTTATTTTTAATAGCAGTCCAATTCTAAATTTTTTTTGCAACCAGAATTGTATTTATATATGCACATTATATGATATGCAAAAAAAATTGTATATAGCAAATTGTGCTATATATTAATAGAAAACAGTCACTATAGCTATTAATAAAAAATATCATTATAGCTAGCATCAATAAAAAATAGTTATTATGGGTCAATAGAAAACAGTTATTATAGTAATTTATAAATTATTTGTTATCCCTTAAACTGTAGGCTTTTCCAAGCAAATTTGTCTAGAAAATTATTATAAATATAGTTATGATCTACTTTTTTTAAATTTCAATATATTTAAATAAATTTTTTTTGATAATATTTGAAAATAAGGATTATATTATAGCAGTATTTAATTTTATATTAT